CGCCAACATGGTTATTAGCAAGGGTGGAGGAACATTGGGGTACGGTAATTTTTTACCTACAGTTCTCTCTGTTTTTCATTCACTTGATTGGTGGGTTGATACTGGTGCTAATATTCATGTGTGTGCTAATATTTCCCTATTTTCTTCTTATCAGGTCGGGAGAGGTTCCTCTTTGTTGATGGGAAACGGATAGCTTGCGGCTGTTCATGGTGTTGGTATGGTTGATCTGAAGTTTACTTCGGGAAAGACCGTGCAGCTGAAGAACGTGCAGCATGTCTCTTCAATAAAGAAGAATCTAGTTAGCGGCTCTCTACTGTGTAGAGATGGTTTTAGACTTGTGTTTGAATCCAATAAATGTGTCGTATCTAAATATGGAACTTTTATTGGAAAAGGCTATGATAGCGGAGGCTTGTTCCGCTTTTCTTTGGATGACATGTGTAATAATAATGTTGTGAACCATATTAGCGAGAATGATGAGTCCAATGTGTGGCATTTGCGACTTTGTCATGTGAATTTCGGTTGTATGACGCGCTTGGCTAACATGAGTTTAATTCCAAAATTCACTTTAGTCAAAAGTTCCAAGTGCCATACTTGTGTTCAATCAAAACAACCTCGCTAGCCTCACAAGGCATCTGAGGCGAGGACTTTGGTACCTCTAGAACTTGTTCATTCCGATATGTGCGAAATGAACAGCATGTTGACTAAAGGGGGAAATAAATATTTCATGACACTGATAGATGATTGCACTAGATTTTGCTATGTGTATCTATTGAAAACAAAGGATGAAGCATTACATTACTTTAAGATCTATAAAGCTGAGGTAGAAAATTAACTTGAAAGGAAAATCAAACGGTTGAGGTCCGATAGGAGTGGAGAGTATTTTTCTAATGAGTTTACGTCGTTTTGCGAAGAGTCTGGAATTATTCATGAGAGGACACCTCCCTATTCACCCCAATCAAACGGGGTAGCCGAAAGAAAGAACTGCACTCTAACTGAGATGGTGAATGCCATGTTAGACACTGCGGGACTTTCCAAGGAATGGTTGGGGTGAGGCAATCTTGACTGCTTTTCATGTCCTGAATAAAATTCCAGTAAAGCATAAGTAAGTAACACCATTCAAGGAATGGGAAAGGAAAAAATTAAATCTCTCATACCTACGCACATAGGGCAGCTTGGCCAAGGTGAATGTACCTATAGCCAAAAAGCGTAAACTTGGACCAAAGACGGTAGACTGTGTGTTCCTTGGTTACGCTATCCTCAGCGTGGGTTATTGGTTCTTAATAGTAAACTCTGGAGTACCCGACATGTGTATGGGTACAATTACTGAGTCCAGAGATGCCACATTCTTTGACAATGAATTTCCCATGAAAAATACACCTAACACTTCTAGTCAAGAACCTGTTTTACCCCATGAGCACTTTGCACCGATAGAACACAATGATCAAACGCCTGAGGAAAATCCTGAGGAGGATAACATTGTAGATACTCGAAAGAGTAAGAGACAAAGGGTTGCAAAATTCTTTGGAGATGACTACATTGTATACCTCATGGATTACACTCCAAGAACCATAGAAGAGGCATATTCATCTCCTGACGCTGACTATTGGAAGGAAGTGGTACGTAGTGAGATGGATTCAATTATGTCTAATGGTACTTGGGAAGTCGTTGAGCGTACATATGGGTGCAAGCCTGTAGGATGCAAATGGGTTTTCAAGAAAAAAACTTAGGTCTGATGGTACAATTGAAAAGTAGAAGGCAAGGCTTGTGGCCAAGGGTTATACCCAAAAAGAACGCGAGGACTTTTTTGACACCTATTCATTAGTAGCCCGCTTGACCACGATTCAAGTACTACTTGCTCTGGCGGCCTCTCATGGTCTTCTCGTTCATCAAATGGACGTTAAGACAGCTTTCCTAAATAGAGAGCTGGAGGAGAAGATCTATATGGATCAACCAGATGAGTATGTACTAGAAGGTCAGGAGGGAATGGTGTGCAAACTGTTGAAATCTTTGTATGGCCTAAAGCAAGCACCTAAGCAATGGCATGAGAAGTTTGACACAACACTTACATCTGCTGGCTTTGTTGTGAACGAAGTTGACAAATGTGTGTACTATCGCTATGGTGGGGGAGAGGGAGTGATCTTGTGTTTATATGTCGATGACATATTGATTTTTGGAACCAGCCTCAAAGTGATTGAGGAGGTTAAGGACTTTCTGTCCAAAAGCTTTGAAATGAAGGATTTGAGAGTGGCTGATGTTATTCTTAACATTAAGCTACTGAGAGGAGATGAGGGTGGGATTATACTCGTGCAATCTCACTATGTGGACAAGGTTTTGTGTCGCTTTGGCTATAGTGACTGCAAGCCAACTCCTACTCCTTATGACTCCAGTGTGCTATTAAGGAAAATTCGAAGAATAGCAAGGGATCAGTTGAGATACTCCTAAATCATTGGTTCATTGATGTACTTGGCTAGTGCAACGAGGCCTGACATCTCATTTGCTGTGAGCAAGCTGAGCCGGTTTGTTTCAAATCTGGGAGATGATCATTGGTAAGCTTTGGAAAGAGTAATGCGCTATCTAAAGGGCACAGTGAGCTATGGAATTCACTATACTGGGTACCCAAAAGTACTGGAAGGATATAGTGACTCAAACTGGATATCTGATGCTGATGAGATAGAGGCCACAAGTGGATATGTGTTCACACTTGGAGGTGGCGCTGTTTCATGGAAGTCTTGCAAGCAGACCATCTTAACGAGGTCAACAATGGAAGCAGAACTCACAGCACTAGATACTGCCACAGTTGAGGCCGAGTGGCTTCGTGAACTCCTGATGGATTTGCCGGTGGTTAAAAAACCAGTGCCAGCTATCCTAATGAACTGTGATAATCAAACAATGATTATTAAGGTGAATAGTTCGAAGGACAACATGAAGTCAGCTAGGCATGTAAAGAGAAGACTGAAATCTGTCGGAAAGCAGAAAAAATCCAGAGTGATAGCACTGGACTATGTCCAGACAGCTAAAAATCTGGTAGATCAGTTTACCAAGGGGCTACTACATAATGTGATAGACAGTGCATCGAGGGAAATGGGTTTGAGACCCACTTAGAGTTGCATAACAGTGGAAACATGTCCATTGGGATCGGAGATCCCGTGAATTTGGATAGCGAAACAAACTATTGTGTAACCGAGAGAAGAGACCCTTAAATGGGCTCATTTTCATGATGTACTTCTCTTCTATTCTGTATGGTAGGATGGCTTATGCCTCAATGTGTTCCGAGTGGCTTTCATTAAGCAGAGATGTTGATCTGCGGAACATCTTAGAAGGAACACACCTATATGAGTTCGACTGCTAGTCACAGTCTATGAGATTTGGGTGATCTCTAGATACTCATGAAAGGACTGGAGTATGACTTATATACTCCAACCCGAGGGAATACTAACGGTTACCTAGTATCAGTTATGGAATTGAGTGAAACCTAACTACACAAGACTGACAATTCAAGGCATAGTCCATTGTTCAGTTGTGGTCAGGTGTAGCTCCTTTTTTAGATGGAAGTTCAACTTAACAGTCTTCACCGGAACACTGGTATATAAAATCTGCTATGGAATAGAGAGCATTCTCATGAGCCTTGAAATTTGGTGGGGATTGTTAGATTTAATTAGGTAATTGATCCATTTAAATCAATTAAATCAAATAAATTCCAAGGCTCATTATGCTAGGAATTCATATGTATTCATTCTCTTATGAGATATCAGTGAGATGAAGAGTTTTAAGAATTAATCCATTTGATTAGTGAATTATATTAATTACTCCTAATTGATGGATGGTTGATGGTGGTGTAGTGGAGGATGGTTCACGGCTAGTTGATGATAATTAGTTGCTCCATTCCTCTTCCTATTACATTGGTAACATATATCAATTACTCCTAATTGGTGATTGGTTGATGGTTGTGTAGTGGAAGATAGTTGATGGCTAGTTGATGAGAATTAGTTACTTTGTTCCTCTTACTATTCCATGACTCTTACTCTTCATCTTCCATTCCTCATGTAAAAGAAGAATGGATTTGATCTTCTGCGTGAGAAGTGAGATACACTTTCATCCATTTTCCAAGGTTGTTGCTGCTACGGTAATCCCATCCTGACGAGTGTGTGCACACGCGTTGGGAGAGTAGGCCTCCGAAACCACACACTGCTGCGATGTTTGCACGGACGGGCGGGCGATCAGGTTTTTGGGGAGCGCAAGGCGCGACTACTCACTGTTCGTCAATGTCTACTTCGTCTTCACCAACATGTCAAACACTGGACACAACGGCAACACTGGAGACAAGGAGAAGGAGGTTCCCGTCAACACCAACGGAGGCAATACTACCTCAAACTCCAATGGAGAACCATTCTTGAGGTATAACCTTCTTACATTATTTCAATTAGAAGTTTTACGGTTAATGTTGATCGCAATGTCAACATTGTGCTATCATGTGATTGTTGATGCTTATTCTACGTTAATTATGCTCATGTTGATTACATTCACCACTATCACTAGATCAAATCCCATTGTAAATATCATGTTTATTATCTTGTTATTTTGGATTAAAATATACCGAATTATGACCAAATTTCCAACACTGTCGCCGCTGGAGCAAGGCCACGACGGCGACTCCATTTGCGCCGCCTTCATCTGCAAACACCAACGTAGCAAATCGAACAGGCGATTGACTAGGAACATGTTCTGGTAGCTACTGCGGGAAGAAGCTCAGCGAGGCGATGGGAACGCCTTCGAACATACTCCCCAGCGCCGGGAGACCACAGCGTTGTTCCGGCGCTGGCATGGAGTGAGTGAGTGATAAATTCTTAATTGCCACATTTTAGAAGTGACAAAAAGTTAAATGTCCGTGATAGCGACGCTGCTTTGTCATTTGTTAAGCAAACAGCCGTGATAGTGAAACTAGCAACTAAGCAAACCTGAATGGCTGAAATATAGCACACCAAGTAATGGGATCAATTAACTCTGTCAGGGAACATGAAGGTAACTGTATAGGAGTAACATCCATCTGGAAAATGATACATTCTTTTATTATCATTAACATTCTCATATACAACCACTACAACTTATTGGGACCTCAGGTTTCTGACTGTAGATATACACAAAAATTTGTACTTATCATAGGTTTGTGATCCTTATTTTGACTGCAGAAACTAGGCAAGAGCGCTCTTTGATTCAAATAGAACACAAGTATGCGCTTCCACATGATAAGAGGATAATCCTGGCACTTGTTGCACCTTGGGATTAGATTCGGTTGCAAAGAAACCTGGAAATGCAAGTGATGTGTCAACCAAGCGCAACCACACGGATCCTTCTGCAAGAGCAGGCAAGGCAGCACTCACTGATTCCTCGTTTGCATTGAAACAGATGTACAGGTCGCCTCTGACCGAATCTGCCGCCATTTCATCTACCTCTGCATTTATGTGCATGCAAAGAAAGTTGCTGGTAGGATCATCCCAACCTGGCTCACATAGATCGCTCCCATACCAATGTATATTCTCAAGTTTTAGGAATTCCCTTCTCTGAAAGATATCGCCTCGCCGACTCCTGAGTGCAGTTAGAAATGAAATGAATCCGGTCACTTCCTTAACAAATGTTGTCTTCATGCCTCTCCAGTTCAGAGGCCCTCTATCCTTGTATGATACTGAACCAGCAGCAGAGTGCCCACATTCATCTCCCATGTTCAGAACAGGAACACCAAGTGATACAAATAGAATAAATAAGAAGTTGCGTATCTGCCTTAGCCTTGTCTGAAGGACAGCACTGTTCTCTGATGGACCTTCTTCACCACAATTCCAGCTCGACTCAGAAAGAAGATCATCATTGCTGAAACTCACCAGATCAACAAGAGAAAGCCCTGAATTCCTGGATACATGATTGAATGAAAATGCAGGCCCTCTGGTTGAGAACAGGTCCCCACTGCCGCACAGGCGTGTAGCAAGATCACTAATAAGTGCTTCTCTCTTCAAAAATTTGCGCACATCAATAGAGAATCTTGTGTTCACCTCAGCCCATCTTTTCCAATGAGGGAATGGGAATTGCACGTTAGATATGTCAAGTGGAGACCAAGGATCTGCAATGATCTTTGTCATGGAAAGAACCGGGTCAAAAGTTATCGCCTCAAGAAGGGGAGGTCGAGATAAATATTCACCACCAGGACCTCTCACAAGGAAAGGGGCATTGATGAAGCAAAACCCATCAACATGGAAGTCAAGCACCCAATGGCGGAGGCTGTCCAAAATCAGCTTCTGAGTCACCGGATGGTTGCAATTCAGTATGCTCGCTTTGCATCCTGCGATCCCATTGGCAATGTAATACGAGGAATTATCAATGCCACGCATTGATATCGTCTGACACTCTGATTCTCCCTCAGCAGTATGTGTAAAAACCACCTCCAAGAGGACCTCTATTCCATTTCTATGCATTACCCTGACCATATCCTTCATGGACTTGATGGCTGAAACACTCAAACCTTTGCTGCTATACAAGTTCATCGGTGAAAAGAAATGGTACGGGAAATAAGGTCCTTTCACCTGATGAAATGGGAACACTGGTTCCAGCAAAATTGCATTGACACCAAGGCTCCTGAAGTGCTCTACCTTAGCAGAAAGCCCGGTGAAAGTGCCGGCAGCGTCATCCGGGAGCCCGCTCGACCTGTCCTTTGTGAACAAAGCCACATTTGCCCGGTACACCACCAGCTTCTCCAATGGCAGACGGGGGTGCCTGTCCCTTCCCCAGTTGTAGCTCGGCGCAATCGCCAACGATGCAAAGCACCTCATTGACGGCGCAGTGACACCCTCGTCGTAAACCGAGTTGCTGGAGACGAAGTCTCCGATCACCTTGGCGTACGGGTCCAACAGTGGGCGGCGGATGCCACCGCAGCAGAAGGCATAGCTGACGTACCCATCTACGCTCGCCAGAGAGACATGCCAGACGTTGCCAGTCCGGTGGATGTACGGATCGAGGTCGATCTCCAGCGCGGGCTCGTCGCCGCCGCCGCCGCCGACGGCGGCGGCGTAGAGGTAGAGAGAAACGGCATTGGCATTCTTGCTGTACACCGCGAAATTGACGGCGCCGTCGCCTGAGATAGACATGCCGAGCGGCGCGGGGCTGCCCGGCCCGACGCCGACGGGCACGCGGAAGCTCGTCTTGCGGTGCGTCCGTATCTCCGCCCCCGACGCGTCCGTGAGCAGGAACGAGAGGTAGAACGGCGCGCGGGTCGGGTCGAAGGAGAGCTCGGCCGCGAGGGAGGCGCCGCCGGCGGCCGGCGCCAGCGGGACGCCCTCGCCGGACCCCGAGGCGCGGAGCACTAGCCCGCCCTCCCGCCCGCGAGTGCCAGGGACCTCGACGGACACCGCGTACCCCCCGCCGCCGCCGTCCCCATCCTCCCCGGAGACGGCCACGTCCACCACGCCGTCGTCGTCGGTCCGGAAGCGGTAGCACGACCGCGCGGCGCAGGCGAGACCCGCGCGACGGGGCCGCGCTACAACTCTTCCGCCGCCGCGGCCGCGGGGGCAGGAGCCGAGCGGCGTGGGCGGCGCGGGGAGGGACGCCATGGGCTGAGGCTGGCTGACCGGACCTGACGGTGCGATCAGCGGGCGCGGAATTGCGTCGAGCGGGTGGTGGGCATCGGGGTTTCAGCAGGGCCCGGTCGCTTGTAAGGGAAGGGCCGCGTAGGGTGGGGAGAGAGCGCGCGGCACGCGCGGGGGCGTGGAGTGGAGTGGAGGGAGGAGCCGAGGCGAGGGGGGAGGCGCGCGCGGTGGGCGGCACACGTGGAGGCGGAGAGCGGGATGGGCGCGCGGGCGACGGTGGGCGGCGCGCACGGGATCCGTTGTGTGCCACGACGTTGCGTGCGTTTGCGTTGGGAGGGCGTCGCTTTTCGCACGGCTATTTCGTGAAGAAGAGGGGGGGGGGGGGGGGGGTTGGTTTGTTCATTTGCGTCGCAGGTGACGCCGTCGCGCAGCGGCACCGTTGGTGTCGCTGTCACCGCACAGTGCAGGTGCGAGTGCACACAGGCTCGCTCGGCGCGGCGGGGTGGTGCGGCCGCATCCGTCCGTTTCGCGTGGGTGTCCCATGTACAGCAGCTGTTCGCGCGCACTGGGCCCCGTCCCCGTCACGATGTGGAGTGGAGATGTGATCGTGGCGTCGTCCTGCTGTCCGGTGGCGTAGACCGCTGCAAGTAGCACATGTACTCGCTACGTGATCACGTGGTGTGGTGTATGGTGGTTTCCAAAAGTGACAAGATCCAAGAAACGGGTGGAGATTTATCGTCCGCCCAATGTGCCGCTCGAGCCTGCACGTTGCACGGATCTCTTTGATCGATCAGTTTCCAGCTGCAAATTCTGCCGTTCGCGAACATAACAGGTCAACAGCCAGCAGTTCTCTCAGCTGATTTTCGCTATTTGTCTACGGTCTACTGGATTTCTGGGCTGGGCTGACCGTTGTCGATCCATTTCATCAACAGGCTGGGCCATTGCAAAGATTTTTGGAATAAGTTCAGAAATCGTCCCTCAACTTTTCATCGAGTTGTATGACATCCATAATCTTTACCCCTAAACTATATAAAACCGTATAATTTAGGTCTTATAGCAGTATGTATATCTGGTTTTGCTAACGTAGCATCCTAGTCAGCAAAATAAAAATTAAATTTTTATGGGGCCCACATATAAGTGAGTAAAGTGGAGACTGCATCTCTTCTTTCTTTTCTTTTTCTCCTCTCATCTCTTTTCTTTTCTTTCTTCTCTACTCTTCTTCAGCGAGCTAGGAGGCCTGCGAGCCCAGCCGAGCTCCGCCGCCTCGAGCTCGTGGAGGGCGCCGCCAACGCCGTCTTCGGTGCGCTCGTGAAGATCTTGGCCGCGCGGATGAGCGACGCCGTCGTGCTCCGTGAGCTCGCCTCCGCCGGCGACCGCCACACCCTAGAGGCCATCTAGAGAGCCCACAACATGTGTGGCGCACTTGTTGGCCTCGTCACGAGCCCTGTCTCCTCGCAAGTCACCAAGGCCTCCCTGTTCATGCACCTCCTATGTGCCCTAGAAGAACCTGTCCTTCTGCCGTTGCTCTGGCCCTCCCAGTGCCACCATGGCGCCCAACCACCACCACCCCCACCGCAACAATAACAGCAACAACAGATCAAATCAAGACCCTCACAGTCGCTATCTCTCACCTCATAAATCCTGCGGACACAATCTTGCACACGCAAAAACCGAAGGGATCTCACCGACGACGGATCGATGAGCTGTGCAAGGCAAGAAAAGGCGGCGTTTTCTTGGGGGGTTTTGGGTGCCTCCTCCGCCCAACCCGCCTCTGTCCTCTGTGTCAAGCTACCCTCACCGCCCCGTCAGTGACCGCCGTGGGGAAGTCATTGGTGAAGAGGAGTCGGTCAGTCGGGGAGCTTGTCCGTCACAGACTCATGGAGGCGTGCGCTGACACTCCCCACCATCGTCGATGACCCCTCTGCCGCCGCCTCCTTCTCCTTCCCCGACACCGCCGTCTATGGCAACCGGGACTTGGACGACATTGACTTCCCCTCCGACCCCAACCACGCCACCAAAAAAGAGAAGAGAATGGAGTGGAGCTGACATGTGGGCTCCACCATTTATTTTTTTTTTGCTGACTAGGATGTCACATCAGCTAAAACCAGTTGGCAATACTGCTATGGACCAAAGTTGTACGGTTTTATGTAGTTTAGAGGTGAAAATTTCTAATATTAGGGGTAAGGGATGTTAAACAAACTCGCTGTAACTCTAAGGGATGGCTGGCGAACTTATTCGCACATTTTTTGCGAGCGTCGGAGCTTGCCGAGTCGGCCCAACGATCCACGGGCCAACGGTGAACGGCCGGCTAGCGCCGGCGGTTGCAAACCGCCACCCCCGCGGTTGCACGGGCCGAGCAACAAATGGAGGCGCCAGCCAAGCGAAGCCAACCAACAAGACGAGGCGAACGTCACGCACGCACGCACGTCCGTCGTGCCGGCCCCTCCCTCCCGTCTCTCGCCCATAAACAAAACCAGCAAAATCCCACCGCGATCATTCCCTCGTAATAGCCAACGACGGCGGCGTCGCGAGATCTTCTCCTCTCCCGGTTTTCCTACCGCCTACCGGGCTGGTCGATCTGCCTCGTTGGCGGCCGGCCGCCGGCCGATCGTGATCTGACAGGACAGCCATTTGCACGCGTCTCTCCCTCGTTTTACTACCATCCACAGGAGGCCCGAAGTCACCCGCGTCTCGGCCCTCTCCGTCCTCGTTGCTTCCGACGCCGGAGGCCGAGAGACAGGCGACGCGCACGTCTGTCTGCGCCGTTGCCGCAGATCAGCCTGACGAGGTAATCGTGCGCGTGCGCCTGCGCCTCGATCGATCGACCATTCCTGCCCTACTCCTCGATTTGTTCGCAGTCGAATTGGATTGCGATGTGCTCTCTTCCTCCTCGGTTTTCATCGATCGCTTCCTTCTTTTTGGGCGCGTTACTTCTTGAATAAATCCTTTTCATTTTCTCAAACTGTCAAACACCTTGAACAATATTTGCCGTTATCTCGATTCACCATTCATACCCTTCTTACTTTGTGATGATCATCACCTAGGTTTATTCGACTTCACCAATAGTCTGTCACGTTTATTGTGTTACAACTGAGAATTAACAAATTCTTTCTGACCATTTTTCCAATTCATTGCAGATACCAGCTCTACCAACAACTCCCGTTACTTCTCTGTATGATGCCTGTTCTGAACTGAGTCTTCATAGATAGAGAGAAATGGGTTCTCTCACAGATATCGGCGTCGCCGCAGGAATAAACATACTGTCCGCATTGGGTTTTCTTCTCGCATTTGCGGTTCTCAGGATACAGCCTATCAACGACAGGGTCTACTTTCCCAAATGGTACCTCAAAGGGACAAGAAGCAGCCCAAGAAGCATGGGAACGGTTTTCTCAAAGTTTGTCAATGCTGATCTCTCGACGTATATCCGCTTCCTGAATTGGATGCCTGCAGCGCTGCAAATGCCTGAGCCCGAGTTGATTGAGCACGCAGGCCTCGACTCCGCGGTATATGTCCGCATATATCTTCTTGGGTGAGCATGCTGTTCGTGTTTCGCAATTGGTCTTTTTTTTTGTCTTTAAAGTTTCCGAAAAGGTTGAATTCAACTGATAAATGTGACTATATGATTTGGATTGGATGTCAGAACATATTCGGTGTATTATGCTTACTGCATAGTTCTCTTGCTATGCAGGTTAAAAATATTTGTGCCGATTGCTGTGCTGGCATTCATTGTCCTTGTTCCTATCAACTGGGCTAGTGGAACTTTGGAGAAGGAAAAGAGTCTAAGTTATGATCAAATTGACAAGCTTTCAATATCTAACCTTGGAAAAGGATCGAAAAGGTATAATTCTCTGTGCTTCATGTGTGTGTCCTAATGCTTGCCGCACCACCATGGATCGTGCCTTTGTTTCTTTGAATAATTACCTGTGTCGCGTATAATGTTACCGCTAGTCTTTACTTCTCATTCACGGTATAATGCATACCATCATATCCTTCGAACAAGATAATGACATTGAAGGTTTCCTTTCCTATCTGTACTTTGAAAAATTGGCGGTCAGACATTTTGGAATTTTGTGAATATGTTTGAAGTTTTTCAATATCGGTGCACTATTAGATACTTTCAATAAATTTAGTACAAAAATATTTATGCAGTGATAACCTATGCTTAACCTAAAATTGTAACAATTAATGGAGACTGGTGTGACTAATAATCCAAACTGGACCTCTTCGAAATTGATGCATGTTCTAACTTTTTCACATAAATCTGCTCTATTAATACAGAAGTGGCAAACCTTCTGCCCTTTCTTCAAAAAGAAAAAAAAGCTTTTCACATAAATGAATGCAAAGGCTTTGCCTCCAAATAATTTCCCAATTATCGATGATTATTCTAGCATTTAGTCATCATCACTTTTATCAAATCAGTTTTTATGATGCTCTAGCACTAGAATTTGATCAGGCTCTTGCGGTATTTTTCTAACCAACACAAATGCCTACTAATTAGTTTTTTTTCGTTGTCAATTTCACTAGTGAGAGTTTAGCCGAATTTATATCTTGTGTTCGATATCCTGATAGGCTGATAATTTCTCTAATGAATTTATGTTTTTTCCCTGTCAATAGATTTTGGGCACACATAGTGATGGCCTATGTATTTACGTTTTGGACGTTTTTCGTGTTGTATCGTGAATACAAGGTTGTAACAACTATGAGATTGCGCTTTCTTGCTATTCAGAATCGTCGAGCTGATCAGTTTACGGTGAGAGATCTTTCCCGTAACACTCAGATCAACGAATTTAAACTTCTTTACTAGATTATTTCAACTTTGCAACTTATTATATAGTTATGCTTCTTTTTTTTTTTGAATTTACGGCGGTGAAAATTTTCTTATTTATCTAGGTCCTGGTGAGAAATGTACCACCTGACCCAGATGAAACAGTTAGTGAGCATGTTGAGCACTTCTTTGCTGTCAATCATCGTGATCATTATCTCAGTCACCAGGTAATAAATTTTGCTATCTTCAATCCGCTGTGGACTTCAGCATTGCTTTTTGTGGAAAAACTAGATAATTAAGTTGTAAGGAAATCCAAATAAGAAACGACTCATTGTATTTCCTTTTGTTCTGTTCTCCTGAATTACCGACAGTTCTTTACTCTTAGCACATAACAAATAGTCCAGCTCAAATGTGTGCTCCTCATTTGGAGTAATTTCTTTTTTATCATATGACCAACAGACCGTATACAATGCAAACACCCTTGCCGGTTTGGTTGAGCAGAAGAAAGGCTTGCAAAACTGGCTGGTCTACTACGAAAACCAGCATGCTAAAAACCCTGCAAAAAAACCAACTATGAAGGTACGGGTTGTCTGTTGCAGATTTATTCTCATGGACCCAAAGCTTTTTAATCTACTAGTATGAAGTTATTGTTTTAGTTTCTGCTAATCTTGCAAGTGGCATGAATCAACTACATTTCTTGTAGACAGGATTGTGGGGCCTTTGGGGGAAAAGAGTGGATGCTATAGAACACTACACCACTGCCATTGAGGAGTTATGCAAACAGGTGCAAGTTTCAGTAATTCATTGGAAGCATTTTCATGCTTTCACCATGTTGACACTCGACAGTGTTACCAGACTACTTGACCACCAATTTTCCTTCGATAAACATATATTTACCCTGTAACAATCAAAATACCAAACGAAATTGCACACTTGCATTGCAGGAAGATGAGGAGAGACACAAGGTGATCACTGATCCTAATGCTATTATGCCAGCTGCATTTGTATCTTTCAAAAGCCGGTGGGGAGCTGCTGTTTGCGCTCAAACGCAACAGACGAGCAATCCAACGTTGTGGCTTACCGAGTGGGCCCCAGAACCTCGGGATGTTTTCTGGCCTAATCTCGCGATCCCTTTCGTCGAGCTCTCAGTCCGGAGGCTTATCATGGCCGTTGCACTCTTCTTTCTGACCTTTTTCTTCATGATTCCAATTGCAATTGTCCAATCAATGGCAAACTTGGATGACATTGAACGGATGCTTCCTTTCCTGAAACCTATAATAGAAAGGTGACTGTTATTACCCATTGTTTTTGCAGTTTAATTTCCATAAAAAATGCATTTGCAGCATGTTGTTGATCAGTGCATCTACATATTTTTTGCCTTCCTATCATGAAAACAGTTAGATAGGTCCAAATTTTGACTAGTAATGATACTGGTATGATGGTACCATACTGAAATAACATCCAATTTCATATAAATAAATGCATATGCATTTCAAACTGGATGTATGATTGGAAGATTTTGCAATTCATTATGTTACATTGTTGACATAATTTCTGGGTAAACATTTGTTTAGCACGCTGTTGAGTACTTATTTCTTTAAGTCACTCTTTCTTGCTAACTAGGATATAATATAAAGCAACAGGAATCGAACCACTCATATAATAAACTGTAATAAAGTAGACTTTTGGATTTGTTGAACATGCTGTAGCCTGTAGGAGTGAACAGTTACCTTCTACATTTCTTTATCATTGAACAAGGAGTAATGTCTGAATGTTGGAATTGAGTACAACCATTAAAATGTTTCATTTTGCTGTCTTCAACCTTTTGATAAACCCATAAAAGTGTGTTGCTGCTGGGTGTGTGACTCCTGGAGTTAGCACCCTGCTATGCTTGGACGTGTTCAGTTCTGGATGTTCATTTGCATTCCTTTGAATCTGAAAATTTATAGGGCTACCAAATTTAGATAATGACAGGTCAAACGTGTATATCATAACAGAAATAATGCTCCACAAGTGCATAGATGCATGACTTGGGTTCATGTTTAAACACTTCAAAATTTCCCTGGCTAGATAACAAAGTGAGTAAAGAAAAGAAAAATAAATTTAACAAACCCCACATTTGTCACATTACTGTTGTTTACTGTTTGTCACATAGTGTTTTTCTGGATCTAAAATCATTTCTGATGCAATGTACTGCAGAAATTCACTGAAGTCAATTGTGCAAGGTTTCTTGCCAGGAATCGCATTGAAAATCTTCCTTATACTTCTCCCAACATTTCTTGTGATGATGAGCAAAATTGAAGGTCATACATCACTATCTGGATTGGACAGGAGGACTGCGTCGAAGTATTATTTGTTCCTATTTGTCAATGTGTTCTTGGGGAGTGTAATAACTGGAACAGCGTTCCAACAACTCAACAATTTTATCCATCAGTCAGCTAATAAGTATGCTCAATCTGTCATTGCTTCTTTGTTATGGATGTGGGTTAGGGGGTGTGTTTCCCTAACCCCCTGACCCACATTGGTTAAGTTGGTTAATGTTTACCAGCTAGCCAATAATACTAATACCTTACCTTGACACCTTTTGCCTTTTGTTTTCACAAGAATTCCAGAGATTGTCGGAGAATCCATCCCCATGAAAGCAACATTTTTCATCACATATGTAATGGTTGATGGCTGGGCTGGTGTTGCCGCTGAGGTTCTTAGGTTGAAGCCATTGGTCATGTTCCATATAAAGAATACTTTCTTGGTCAGAACCGAGCGAGATCGAGAGCAGGCCATGGACCCTGGGAGCCTGGATTTTGGCACCACAGAACCAAGGATACAACTGTACTTTCTGCTTGGGCTTGTATATGCTGTCGTGACACCAATTCTTCTACCTTTCATCATAGTGTTCTTTAGCCTTGCCTATCTAGTATTCAGACACCAGGTACTAGTCTGCCTTCAAGTTTAAATATACCCTTTTATCATATTGCCACATTCACAATGGCAGAAGCATACGTTTCCGGTCATTCTTCAATCTTCTCTTAGCACGGTCTGCTAATCTTTTTTTCTGCTTCTTTTTTGCAAGATCATTAATGTCTACAATCAGCAATATGAGAGTGGCGCGCAATTCTGGCCAGATGTCCAAAGACGACTGGTTATAGCATTGATAGTATCACAAATCCTCCTGTTGGGACTGCTGAGCACGCAGGAAGCAGAGAAATCCACTGTTGCTCTTCTTCCTCTTCCTGTACTGTCCATATGGTTCCACTATGTTTGCAAGGGCCGCTTTGAGCCAGCGTTTATAAAGTTCCCCCTGCAGGTTAGACTGAAACTTTACTCTTCACACATGCATTCACCATAGCATATAGTAAAATTAAAAACTAAGCTAGAACAATCCTGATACATAAACATTTTGGTCTTGTAGGATGCAATGGTAAAGGATACACTGGAACGGGCAAATGACCCAACCCTGAATTTGAGAGAGTACCTGAAGGATGCATATGTGCACCCAGTGTTCCAAAAAAATGACATATATGAGTTTGCTGGCATCGACGAGGAAGAGAAGAACCCCATGGTTGCAACGAAGCGCCAATCGCGAATGAACACACCAGTAGATAGCAAGTTCAATTCCAGTTCTGGCACTAATGAAGGAGAGTTCAGTCGGATGGCTCCTACCTGAAGCTTGATTTTTCATCAGTCAATGTAAACATTTTGCAGTTTGGTAATATTGTAAATGTTCAGGCAAAAAGGAAATACAAGGTTTAAACAATGTTGGATAAGACTATATAGTATGCATGATTAGCAGTTACATTACTGCATTAGAATATTTGCCTCAGTAAAATCTTATACTACAACCATCAGAAGACGATGATTTAAGCCTTTAAGCACTTAACCTAATCAAACCAACCAGTCAAACTATCATATAATTAAACCATTAGTTTAACAAGTATGATGATAGGGCATGTGATGATGGATTACAATTAAGTGCTAACTAGGAAACTAGTTGATTGTGAGAAGATTGGCGGTGTCAAACTAAATTCATAAGGCTTTTAATTAAACAAATTGCATAGTCAATTTTAAATAAGATCAGAAATGATCTTAAAACAAGAAAAAGAATAAAAAAACAAAGATTTATTAAAAAAAGGATGAGAGTAAACTAAGCCTATAATACTGAGAACTTGCAACTACAATGCACATTAGCAGCTCAAAGTACAGAATTCTTTTGTGTTAACTGGTGGAACAAAAGATCATCTCAATCTGAGCATTCTTTCCAATATATGGCAAACTTTGTACATTTCTACGCTTTGACAGTATCCATTCTTACAAAGAGCCTTGATCAGTTCCTGGTAAATATACACTTCTATTATAAAGCCTTGTCCAAGAACACATCCAATTAGAGTATGCAATTGACCAAGCATACCACCAACAATTAGACCTCGTATAATACTGAGAAATGCAGATGGGAAGAAGTCGTCCTCAAGTGATTGGTAAAAACAGCAAAGAGCCACCAAGAACTTCTCTTCTCTACAGAGACAATCAATCACAAGACTGTAGGTGATGTCATTGGGAGCAATGCCTCCCTCAATCATCTGATAAAGTAAGAGGCAAACTTCATTGCCTTCCCCAGAAATACTGAGATGACGGATTAAAGTATTGTATGTGATAACGGTAGCTACAAACTCTTTGCTTCTCAGCAGAAAAAGCGCTTTATGAAGTCTCCCCAATTTACAGAGGCTGTGGACAACAATGTTGAAGGTCCAGCTATTTGGAGCAATGCCTTTCTTGGCCATGTCAGTGAAAAGTTTGACAACAGACAGCCATCTGTGCTCATCGCAAAGCTTCCTCATCACCGTGTTATAATTGACAACATTGGCATCCCACCCAAGCTCTGCGCTGCACTCCAAGAGGCGTTTTGCAGCCCATGCAGTTGAGCTACGACAAACACCATCAAGAAGGATATTCAGAGTCACCTCACTAGGTTGTAACCCGTTGGATAACATCTTATCAACCAATGCAAAGCTCTTATCTATTCTGCCGGCTTTGCATAGCCCATCCATGTAACTGCTATATGTGATTACATCTGGTGTCCACCCTTTTGCAGTGCTCTCCTCAAGAAGGGCATCTACCTCCTCGAAAGCCCCAACCTTGCAGAGAGCTTCAACCAAGACATTGTAAGTGGCTGTACTTGGAGCAAATCCACTGGCAATCATAGTGTTCAACAGCCTCTTCGCCTCATGTATCCTCCCACCCGTGCAATATGCGTGCACGATAGGTGTATATGTGTGCGCATTGGGTTGGCAACCTTCCTCCAGCATCAAGTCCAGCACGCCGAGAGCTTCAGCCACCTGCCCAGCGCTGCACAGCCCAGATATCAACGTCGAGTAGGTGACCACGTCAGGGGCCACGCCATTCGCCACCATCCAGCGCACGACCTCGTAGGCGGCGTCGAACCGCCGCAGGCGGCAGGCGTACACCCCGACGAGCACCGTGCACGCCGCGGCGTCGGGCGCGACGCCATCCGCGGCCATGGCGTCGAGCACGGCGAGCGCCGCGCCCGGGCGGGACGCGGACGACAGCGCCGCGGCGACCGTTGTGAAGCAGGCGGCGTCGGGGCGGCGCCGGAGGAGGGCGCGCATTTCGTCGAGCAGGTGGAGGGCGCGGTCCGCGCCGGCGCCGTCCCGCGTCCCCGCGTGCGCGGACATGAGGCGGTTGTAGTCGTAGGGGTGCGGGGACCGCGGCCGTGTAGGGGGCGGCGGCGTTCCCGGCCGGGGACGGTGGTCGGAGAGCTCCTTGGCGAGGGCGGCGAAGCGGAGGAGGGGGAGGAAGCGGCGGTCTCGGTGTGGGGCGGAGGAGAGGCAGCGGCGGCGGAGGAGGAGGAGGCGAGGGAGGGGACGGGAGGGGGAGCGCATGGGGTGGTGCGGGAGGAGGCGGCGGCGGCGGCGACATCGGAGAGCGGCGGCCGCGGGTGCAGCCTTGCAGCCCACGGCGGAGCGCGCGACGTTCGGGAGAGGGGTGGGGGTGACAGTGGGACGGGCAGTTCCGTAACAGTGGGTCGGAAATGGGCCGGAACTCTGGAAGTTTGAAACGTGGCCGAGGGCTGTGTTACGTATCTGTTCTTCTTGTCCACCACCCGCGCAGGTCAGCTTCGGAGCCCATATGACGACCGCTACAACCGGCTGTGTGTTCGGCAGCCATCTTCCCTAGGTTAGGAAAAAAAATAAAAATATATATTAATCTATTTTTTAAAAAATAACTAATACTTAATTAATTATGCACTAATGAGTCGCTTCATTTTCTGTGTGTGGGATGAGTTCCCAACACAGTTTGCCGAACTCAACCAAAAAAACCCTCAACCCAATGTATAAGGTAGTTGTTGCAATGTACTCTTTTCATCTCAGTTTGGTCATCATAACAACAAAACTTTTATCATTTAGAAATTAATCCTTATTAGTCAAGGTGCTTCGTCGTTTTGTGTCCCGTAGATTGCGTCATATTCTAAATATAGCATAGCGTTGCACCAATAGAATTTAATCTTGGTTATTTGCATGCAAATGTATTCAACGATGTCATTGGTAAAATTTACTATAGGACACCCAAAAATTTATATAGTTTGTTGGTAGACATAGTAAAAAAAGTCACGGCTGAAAGACACTTTAATAACTAGTAATTTGCTGGATGACACTTTCGTCTTAATTGGAGAGAGAAATTCTTTAAAAATACGAGAATGACCCTAGGTTCAAAAGAGTATATGGATCACACTCTCACAATTGTGAGACACGCTATATAGAGTTATATGGACCACTTTTTACCTATAATATGGATAATCTTGTCCTTTTGATTTGCATCAAAAATGTAAAAAAAATTTGTAAAATTATAATCTTATATTAAAAAAATCATATTTAGTCATGTGAAACAAAGGCTGGGATATAAAAAAATCTTATGGATTTCCTACAAAGTGGCCCAAGACAAGAAGATTTTAGAGGAAAGTTAGTATTATGTCTAACCTTATGAAGCTTTTCGAGTTTTTATCTCTCATCTAGTTCATGTGTTTTTCCTGCAATCTAAATAAATAAATAGCCATTTATGTTTTTCAATCCTTTGTTTCCCACCTGTATGCCTATAAACTTTCTTGCTTTTTATTTATTTGTATGCTTTCTCATTCCTATATTTCAAAGGGTCCTTGAATTCAGAATTCCACCTCATTTAACTTGAATTCCTGCTTGTAACACAAATTCCCACTTCCAGGTCGAAATCCACTACTTTCAACATAGAATTCCCCTACTTCAACTAGAAATCCACCACTTTCAAGTTCAAGATTAAGGACATCAAGTTTGAATTGGACGTGATAATCATTTTCTCAACTTGAATAGGGAGTGTTTTCCCCCTGTTTTTCATCTTCTTCCCTCTATGGTCTAGGAAATCCATAGATATGTGTAGTCTCGGAGAGACCAAGCTCCTATTTGGGGTGCTTCTAACAACTACAACTTCTCTGAGAATCTCCATCAATCTCAAACTCTCCAGATTCTTACGTGGATATATAGTTATAGAATTTTAAAAATAACTAAATTCTAGAAACTTAAAATATTCCTAGCTTTTACAATTACTTATCAAAAGCTTGAGATCCCCAGTTAGGGCCCAAGACAATGGATGATGGACACAGTTAGGGTCAGGGATAGACTTAGGCCATCTTGTTTTGAGCATTTGGCTATACTGATGTATTTAATTTATCATGATTAAAAAGGGTCAAGCCTATCGGCCTTTTAGCCGATATGGGGAGACACTATTTTACATAGAACATGGGCCATAGTCGGAGCAAGATAAAAGGGAACTTTTGTAAAAAAAAAAGAAGAAGAAGAAATTAACTTGTTCTCACTTTATCTTTTAGCATTTTGGATCCCTAGCTCTCATGTGCACCGCATGTAGTTCGATGAAGTAGGGTGATCCTAACCCATCGATGACCATACAAGATAGCAATTCGTGGTCATGGAATATCGATAAGATCCATGATTGTCAGATGGAAATTTTGAAACTGAGATGAAACTCCATCGCCGTAGACAAAAATTCACGGAATATAGACAAGGTTCATGATTGCCATACGATGTAGCTGTCTAAGTAATACTCTTTCCGTCCCAAATTATGTAGACATATTTTCTTTACAAGGTTCTCAATAACATACTTTAACCATTAATTTGTTCCATGTTATGTTTCTAACGAATATGAAATTAACGTTACATGAAAAATACTTTAAATATGAATCTAGTGAGTAATATGCATGCGTAATATTTAGCATATATATGGTTAGTATGGTTATTAGTCAAAAGTTATCGAGTTTAATTTTTCAAAAAAAAAAAAGATGTGCCCTACAATTTAGGACATATGAGTACATCAGATCCAATGCATACCCTGTTTGTTATAACTTTAATTGCATGATATTTTAAGAGCTGAATATCTTTAGCTCCACAAACTAACTATTGAAGTTAGAGTTTGGTGATAGATTAAGATTATTACGACAAGATATTTATTTTATATTTTAGATAAAAGTACATATATTAAATTATATTATTTTGGACTATATAACACCTTTTTCTTAAGAAAGAATGACCCCTAGAACCGTGCCAAACATGACATATGTGTATATGTATATGTATATGTATATGTATATGTATATATGTATATATGTATATATGTATATATATATATATATATATATATATATATATATATATATATATATATATATATATATATATATATATATATATGTGTGTGTGTGTGTGTGTGTGTGTGTGTATATATGTGTGTATGTATGTATATGTATGTATGTGTATATATATATATATATGTGTGTGTATGTATATGCGCGCGTGCCCTCCGAAAGTTAGCTAGCCTTGTACTTCAAGGCTTCAAGCGAAACACGAGTTTGTACATGAACCAAAATTTTCACTCAACATAGTTATATTTTACATTGTAATATAGGAAAATCTTTTATTCAATGCAACTATTCTATTAACTCAAATCTTAAATATATAAAGATTTTAAATCACTCAGTCGAAATGTACAAACCAACAGTATTGTCTTTTAAAACAGGAGTGTACACGTCACAAAGATTAGGATGATCTTTAGTATTGTTTACTCTCGAATATACTTCATATCATTATATGCAGATGACGGAATGCGGATATCGACGAAGAGGGTACCGCCAACCAATCAATCGGAATTTGGTAAAAAATGTGACGTTTGTATATACGAATGTACGTATTTGATGACAGTCTGTGCTTTTTAAGAGGTAAATGCATACAGCCACGTATATCAAATAGATTCCTACTATTTCTTAATGAACAACCACATTAGTCAGTTAGTCACCATATATATACTACATTGAATATAGGTCCCAACGGTCATAGTTATGCATCAAATACTAGAGATAAAAACTGATCGACCGATGATATCGTGGTTTGGACCTTGTAATACGCCCATTATACGGGCGTTTATACTAAAACCGGCCAATTAATCGTAGATAACGACTAATACAATGTAGAGGCTAATTGCTCGCCGTATCCGTATTAACGGCCTTCAGACACGCACCGTCTACGTACCGGATGCGGATGTGTGGTACAGTAAGATGGATTTCGTCGTTGCAGCCAGGCTCAGCATGTCAGCAATGCCATGCATGCAGCGGGTCGCCCCAACTACCCGGCGTCCCGGCGCGCCGCTCGCTGTGTTGGAGCGTTGCTCTCCGGCTCGGCCAAACTCCAGCCGCCGCGTGTGTAGCGCAAAGCGCCAACCCGGTTTTTTGCCCGCCCGCTCGTGACGTCCACTCCTCCGCCCCCCGGCGAGCCGTTGGACCTTTCAAGTGGTTGGTTGGTCGGACCTTTCACCTTCCCTGAGAGCATCTCCAATAGATGACTAAAATTAAACTCCCAAAAATCCTGTATTGGGGACAGCCAAAAACATATTTAGCCTAAAATACACCCTCTTCTCCAATAGATGACTAAAATTTGGTTCCCAAAAATTTAAAATTTTTCCACATCATCATTAGTGGGTCCTTCCCAACTAATTTTCTACCTGCTCGTTAAAATCACAGGCGAGAGCGGAGGGGGAGATCGCGTCGCGCGTGAGAGGCGAGGAGGAGATCGCGGCGTGCGGATGCGGAGGGGAATGGGCATGGTCGACGCGACGCACGCGGACGGAAGGAGATGGCTGCTCATCCTAGTCGCGCGCGAGATCGCAACTGATACCGTTGGCGAGGTTATATATCAGACGCAGCGATATACGAAATTGATCGAAGGACACAGTGCTATAGACGCACATAGAGCTCTTCCTCTGTCAGCGCCGGCGGCGTTAGCACTTCACTCAATCAGAGCTCTTCCTCTGTCAGGGCCGGCGACGTTAGCACCTCACTTAATCAGGCAACTGCAGCAAGCAGCAACGATTGGTGACAGGCACAAGCTCTTGTGCAGTGCGTGAGTAGCAAAATTTTGCTAGCAACCATGTTTTTTACTTTGTTCTATTTCCTTTTTTTATGTTTCTGATCTGACAATGTCTTGATGGAAAAAAAACTTAATTTGATATGATGAATAAATATTTGGAAAAACGGAAGGCCAATCACATTTTTTTTAATTTGATCTGACAACGTCGCAAGGGGAAAAACTTAATTTATTGTGATGAATAATGGTTTGGCAGTTGATTTGATCCAAGATGAGTCGACCTCGCTCCTCGTTTCAACAACTCGTGGATGAATCATCGTCTGACGATGACGATGATTTTTTTTTTTGCCACGGCACAAATCGTCCATAGCTATTGGCACTCTGTCAATGCACCAAGACATGGTGGGTCAGTCATGGGACATGAAGTGATTGATCGCAACAGAGAAGCACGGCACTTGAGATTATACCAAGACTACTTTTCCGATAATCCTACCTATGGCCCAGTTTTATTCAGGCGCAGGTTTGTATAAGTAAATTTTATATAATTTATTTTTGTTATATGCATAGATATGCATGTCTCATTAGTTATGATTCGCAGGAATAGAATGAGAAGGCCTCTGTTTCTCCGCATAATGAATGCAGTAGAGGATCACGATGACTATTTTGTGCAGAAGAGAAATGCAGCTGGTTTAATTGGGTTCAGTTGTCACCAAAAGGTCACTGCAGCAATGCGTCAGTTGGCTTATGGTATAGCAGCAGATGCTTTGGATGAATATCTCGGTATTGCAGAAAGTACCGCTATAGAGAGCCTGAGAAGGTTTGTGAAAGCAGTTGTACAAGTTTTTGAACATGAATACTTAAGATCACCCAATGAGAACGATACAACTCGATTACTTGAACTTGGGGAGGACAGAGGTTTCCCCGGTATGTTAGGCTCCATAGATTGCATGCATTGGAAGTGGAAGAACTGCCCTACAGAATTGCACGGTATGTACCAAGGGCACGTGCACGAGCCTACAATAATTTTAGAAGCCGTTGCTTCAAAGGATCTCTGGATTTGGCACGCTTTTTTTGGTATGCCTGGGTCTCATAACGATATCAATGTACTTCATCGATCCCCGCTATTTGCAAAGCTAGCTGAAGGCAAGGCTCCTGAAGTGAACTATAGTATAAATGGACACGATTATATGATGGGATATTATCTTGCTGATGGCATATATCCTTCTTGGGCCACATTTGTGAAGACCATACCAGAACCACATGGCAACAAGAGGAAATATTTTGCCAAAGCACAGGAAGCAATAAGGAAGGATGTCGAACGAGCTTTTGGGGTTCTGCAAGCTCGATTTGCCATTGTTCGAGGGCCAGCTCGACATTGGGATGAAAAGACTCTGGGATACATCATGAAAGCTTGTGTTATCATGCATAACATGATTATTGAAGATGAGGGAGAAGTTGATTGGGAAGAACGGTTCCCAGAGGGAGGAGAAAATGTCAGAGTGTCCCACGATGAAATACCTGATCTTGATGATTTTATCCAGATGCACAAAAAAATAAGGGACGACGAAACTCACTATCAGCTACGTGAAGACCTAGTGGAGCACTTGTGGCAACATTATCCTGATAAATATTGAGGTTTTATTTATATGTTTGAATTCCATGTAATAAATAGTATACATATGTGAGGATTTGCAAAATCATTTTAATTTGTTCTTCATGTATTGAATAAATGGTGTACTGTTCGGTTTAAGAATAGTACAGGAGAATTAATAAAAGTGCACTTCCTTTATGCATTTTGTTGAATATGTCGGCTGGCAGTGATAAATGTGTCATGTGGTCTTCCTGTCAATCATGAAAAGCCACAGATGAGGTAGAGGCCCCAGAAGCTTTTCAATCATGCCAGGAAACAATCAAACATCAGGCTCTCAGTGAGAGACAATACAGATTACCACAGGTCAATAGCAACATCAGGCTCTCATAAAGTCTGATTCATTACACAGACTAACACCAAGGGCATGATAAGGGAAGTACCCATCTACTAACACCAACTTCGGACAAAACAAAAAGACACAATTCTGAATATAAATAGTTTGCATTGCAGACTTAGTAAACCTAGATAAATTTCTAACAAACCACTGATCTAAACTGCAGCTACGATTGCCATCTCTTTCCCTCCCATTCTCTGATCTGGTCACAATTTGTTCAGTTGCTTCTTCACATGTACGAAGGTCTCAGCGAGGTGGCTTCCCTGTTGATAGCAATAAGATGGAGTTCGAATTAACCATAATACATGTACAGAGTATAGAGCTGCCAAGTTTTCTAGTCTATTTTAATTAGTAATGTACAATATTTGAAGCTACCTATATGTTTGTACTGTAAACAATAATTGAAGCTAGCTAGTACTGCAAGTGATTTTTTTGACTGATCACTGTCGAAAATATGGATTCAGTAACCTATCATTCAAACTGAAATTGAATATGCACTCACATGGATCAGTTGATCATGCAGCAAGGTATTTGATCTTCGGCTCTTCGGTCTCTGTAGGTTCATTATCTTCATTAACATGATTGGTAGTATCATCATTTGTGGGTATAGCTTTTCCCAAACCATCTGTGCTTGCCTTCTGTTTTTTGGTGGCACAGGGTTTTTGGGATGTTATTTGCTTCATCTTATCATGCCACTTGGATTGTGACCTCAAGAGAGTCCAACAGTGCAGGAATTGGAAGGGCTTATCTTCCAACTCCTTAAATACAGCAATGGCCTGAGCAATCTGCACATGTCAAGTCAAGTGAATGTGGTTAGCAAACATCATATCTTTTATTTATAAACTAACATAAAAACACAAGCTACATAACTATGTAGTACCTTGTCGTGTATACTAACCCCGCTTTGTCTTCTACCCTCAATCTGGCTCAGATATCCACAAAACTTGTTGACATTCTCTTGTATAGTTTTCCAACGATGCATAAGTGAATTCTGGCTGCGATCTGGTGTGGATTTACTCGTTTTGTATAAGTGCTCGTATATTCTAGTCCAATATGCAGCACGAGTTTGATTTGTGCCTAGCACTGGATCCAAACTTACATGCAACCACGCCGACACAAGTATCTTATCTTCTTGTTCACTAAAATTCTTCGATCTTTTTTGATTTGGTCTAGCCACGGTAGTCCTCTCAATAGTGGGGAACTGCTGCGTGACAGGCTCGCTACTCATGCCATTCTCATCAAGCTGGTTACTCATATCATCCTCCACAGGCATCGTACTCAAACTATCCCAATCTAAGGAATCGTTCCCCTCATTCATCAAATTAGTATAGAATCCTTCTTCTTCCATTATCAGTAGGACCTACAAGCAATTATCTCCATCATGTATGTTAAATGGAAGATGATTATTTTGTTTACATGTCTATCTAAGCAATGCAATGTTGTCTGTCTGCCTAAAAAAACAAGATGATAGATGCTATTCAGATTTTTCGTTTGATATAATATTTTAGATTTGTAGACAGCAGCCTTTCAGGTGGTGTGCTGACTTAAGTGCACATGCACCATGGCAGATAGCATGCCACACCTGAAGATCTAAAATATACTAACATTGTTCAAAAAAATTTCGACCTTAATTTTGACCTTAATCATGATAGAAGTAAAAGTGGGCACAAGCATATGACACACAACAGATGGAACTGGTCAATGGAAACATACCTCAGATTAGGCCTTAGTGCAGTGTGATACTGACTTTTATGAATACAACATTCAAAGCAAAGCAGTTCAGTGAAAAAAAAACTTAACTATAGCAGTTTAGGGAAAAAAAACTTATACTAGTTCAGGGGAAAAAACCTCAACTATACCAGTAAAGAAATAAAATCTTCAGTAGAATATGAAACTAGCATGTCCCATTTGTCTTCTTGAATAAAATAGTTTTAGTACAATTAAGTGGACTTCAATAGAACTTTAGGGTGAGAAGAATATGGTCTGTTAGCAACTTGTGAAGACTATTTTGGACATATTCATCTAAGACTTGTATCAACGAAAACAAAGAAATACACATAAGGACATTGTCAGTACTAGGATATCAATGGGGATAATATCAGTGAGTCAACCTCAATTGAACACAAAGAGAGTTAGATCCATGGAGAGAAGCAGAAAATAAATGAGTTGTTACTCTGAAATTACCTCAAACAAATCCAGTAGCAACTCACGTCGTTGAGAGGCGAGGTGGACGAAGGGGCACAGACTGCCGACGGTCCCTGGATTGACAGTCGATGGTGACTTGGACGGAGGCCGCTAGCGCTCTGGACGGAGGGGCGGCAGCGACCTAGATGGGCTGCCGGCGACGCCCTGGACGGAGGGGCGGCAGCGACCTAGATGGGCTGCCGGCGGCGCCCTGGACGGAGGGCCGGCGACGCCTTGGAGAACCTGCGGCGTCCCGGACGGACGGACGGCTGGCGGCGCCCTGAACGGAGTTGGCGCGAGGAGAGGAAGCTGGCGCGAGGAGGGGAAGAAAGGCGCGGCTCCTCCCGGCGAACGAAGAGACGGTGGTTGAGGGAAAGCGCGGGCGAGGAAAAAAATTGGCGCCAGGAAAAGAAAAAACGGCGCGGGCAGGAACGATTGCTTCGATTGGGAGCGCTTCTAGTTGCCCAATATTTGGTTCAGGTTGGTCCTGGTTTTGGAGGTGGCTAAATTTTGGGACCATGTTTAGGAGTCTGTTGGAGGGCTGATTTTCACCAAATTCCTAAAATTTATGTTTTAGTAACCTGTTTAGCATTCTCTTGGAGATGCCCTGAGTTCCCTCCCCCGCACAAACAACAACGCTCTCTTTTCTCTCGTCATCTTTAAAACACCACACGCATATGCCACACGTGTCAATGTGTCACCCGAAGACACGCGCGTAGACGCCGACGTGTGGGTCAAAAAAAAAAACACGCGGCCCCACGTGGAAGCCTCACGGGTTTTCTCCGCGCCCGTATGCTGTAGCCAGTGTGTTCGAACGGCGTGGTTATTTTTTTGAAAAGGAAAAAAAAAACAAATGTGAGGCGAGAGAAAGACGGAGAGCGCAAGCTGTCTCGCAACAGAGTTAAAACAGAGCACACATACGCCGACGCATGCAGGCTGCAGAGCAAGCGGCCGAGCCCCAACCAACGTCTTTCCCCGTCGCCGCGGACACGCCGGGCCCACCGCCCGACGACACGGGCCAGCGTCCAAATAGAAAAAAGTAGAGAAGCGAACAAAAAGCGGTGAAGAAAAGCGCAGGTGCCAGTAAAAAAAATAAAAAAAACACACCACCCAGAAGAAAAGCCCCTCCGATTTGCCGCTATTTACCGCGTATGGCTAGGCCGCAACCGCGCCACCCAAAGCAGCGAAGGACAAGCACGCGCGGGGCACTGACCACGGTCCACTCCCCACCACCACCGAAACCCACCGCACCGCTCGCTGCCACGGTGGGCCCCGCGCAGTGTGGGACCCACGTGTCGGTGGGAGAGAGGACGCGGGTTAAACCCCACACCACCGAGCCCCTCGCCGCTCTCTCGGCTGCTGCGCCTTGGGACGAGCACCCAACGAGGCAAACAGGCCATTCCTCCTAGATCCACTCGCCCACGACCACCACTCGCCTCGCTCTCGCTGTCGCCGTGCTGAGCTCTGAGCTCTGAGCTGAGCTGCTTGGTGGGTGGGTTGGTTTGGTTGGTCGCGTAGGTGCGCAATGCGGTGAGAGGGTGGGTAGGGGGGAGGGGAGAGGTGAGGTCGCGAGAGGGGATTATGGGGTGCGCGCAGTCGCGGATCGAGAACGAGGAGGCGGTGGCGCGATGCAAGGAGCGGAGGCAGTGGATGAAGTCGGCCGTGCAGGCGCGGAACGCGTTCGCGGCGGCGCACTCGGCGTACGCCATGTCGCTGCGGGACACGGGCGCCGCGCTCTCCGAGTTCGCGCACGGGGAGGGCGTGCCGCCGCCGCCGCCGCCGCCCCAACCGACGACGACGACGGCGGCGGGGGCCGCGGGGGAGGAGGCGCGCCCCGTGGGCGGCGGCGCCACCGCGGCGGACCGGCTCGCGGCCGGCGGCGGGATGGGCGTGCCGGGGGTCTCGCCGACGTCGGCCGCGGTCGACGCGATGATGATGCCGCCGCCGCCACCCATCGACACGCTGCCGCCGCCCCCGCCGCCGCTCCCGGAGTTCTCGCCGTCGCCCGCGAAGATCCACCGGTCCAAGAGCATGCCCCTGCCCCCGCAGACCAAGGGCCCCGCGGTGCTCCACAGCGACTCGATTAGGGAGGATGACGAGGAGGAGGCGGAGATAGAGGAGGAAGAGGACGAGGACGAGCATCTCGATGACCGGCGGCGGAGGCTGCGTCACCGGCCGCAGGTACCGCCGCTCGTGTCTTCGCCCGCACCGGGAACGCCGGTGACGCCTCAGCCGCCGCCGCCGCCGCCGCCGCCTCCACCGGACTCGAAGCCCGGAGTTGACACGTGGGACTATTTCTTCTCCATGGACGAGGGGATGGCCTCCATTGCCCCCGACGACGACGAGATCATCCAGGAGCCAGAAGACGAGAAGTATGTCCCTGCCTCGCCGCCGCGCCCTCCCCTTTCCCCTCCTACCCCGGTAGCAGCGCCGGCGCCACAGGAGGAGTTTGAGGAAGAGCCACGGACGCCGGAGATGGTCACGCCGCCGCCATCGCTCCCGCCAAGGCCGCCTGCGGTGTCGTCCAAGAAGAAGAAGGGGAAGGGGAAGCATAGGGCGGCGCACCACCAGCACACGGAGTCGGCGCCGCCGGTCACATTAGTCGGCGGCGGCGGGGGAAAGGCCGGGAAGGTGGTCCCCGTCGAGTTGCCGCGCATCGATCTTCTGCGGGTGCTCGCCGAGATCGACGACAGGTTCCTCAAGGCGTCGGAGAGCGCCGGGGAGGTGTCCAAGGTTCTGGAGGCCAACAGGATGCATTACCACTCCAATTTCGTTGACACCCGAGGTCAGTGATTTGATTGCTCCTTGATACTTGCGGTTTTGGAAGTTTTAGTCCCCAAAGTGGGGGGCTTTGTGCCTGTCGCTATGATTTAATCATAAGAATTTGATCTTTTTGGGTGATGGCGATAGCGGCGTGATGGATTCTTGGGTTGATAGAGACCAAAAACTAGTTTCTTGAGGTTGGTGGTAGTGGTGGGCTCTGCTTGGGCAGGCACGTGAGCTGTCCAAACCCCACAATTCCATTTCTCCAAATTGGATGCTCCTGTAGTAGCAGCTAGCAAGCTATAGGAAAGAAGAGATTTTTTGACACAACCATTGGTTTGAGTTACAAATATACAATGCATATCTTGATGGATTTTGATTATGAGGGTCCAAAGAATCCATTTGGACGACACATTCTACTGATTGAAATTAGCATACAAATGACATTCTGGGGTATAACCTATTCAATAATCAATAAAACCTTTCAGTGTACGATGATCAAGAAGACCTGATATTTTTCCTCTCTTTGTTTCAATTTTAGTGCCATATCCAGTATCTATGCATGTTAATAATGAAGAAATGTGTGCTCGTAATTATAAATAGCACACAAGAAGCTTGGGTCCATTTGAAGAATTATGGATGTGCTACAAGGTACTTACAAGCAGGAATGGCTGAATTAATGCGTTGTTATATGTTTGGAATGCACAGCTAGAAGACTCTTTGCTGCTCTCACTGAAAGAATTATGCACAAATTTTAAAGAATGTGTTTGGAAGGGATAGAAACACTACTAATTGTTGAGGGTCAGAAAACCATTGCACACTGTGTTCAGCACACACAGAGGGTAGGCTTGGGACTGCTGGTTTATGCTGTAGCACTAGATATCTTATACACATTCCAGTTACTCCATCACTAAATACAATTCCTGTTGGACTTCACATGATTGCTGTTGTCAGTTTCTCACTTCTCCTATTCAGGTTGGCCATGATTCTTGATAAGAGAAAGCTGAGCGACCTTTCCAATTTTAAATTAAAACTCTATATACACAAATAAGATTCAGCTTAAATTTTAATCAGGAACAAAGGTTAAGATTGAGCTGGTTAGAGCGTACTGAATTATCCCCTTTTGTTTCACTGTTTCTACCCAGTTTTGATATATTGTTCCGCGCCATGCACTCATTTCTGGATTGAGTCAATTTAATTAATTTTGAAACGCAAGCATTTTTCTTATCTTCTGATTAATATATTATAGTAACATTGCTGATCTTGTCTATTCTTCATACAATATAAGTTTTGAAATTAATGGACATCCTCAAATGATAACAATCCTTTCCAATATCTTTATGTTCAGTTATATATTTGTAAATACACGAGTGTAAATGACCTTCTAACTGATTTTTTAAATTTATTTTCATGACATCTTTTTTAACAGGGCACATCGATCATTCTGCTAGAGTCATGAAAATCATAACATGGAATAGATCCTTCAGAGCCATGCAAAATGGAGATGATGGGAAGGACGACTTTGAAAATGATGAATGGGAGACTTTGGCAACTGTCATAGATAAAATTTTAGCCTGGGAGAAAAAGCTCTATGACGAAGTGAAGGTGCTACTCATTCCTTTGATAAAAATAATGTGTGTTTTTTCTGCTAGAAATTTGAACTTCTACAGTACTAGTTTGAAGAAGTTTTGCAATAACAGACATTCTAATATTTATTCTCTACTAGAGTATTAGATGGAATTATATTACCAAGTTCTACTGATTTTTTCTTTCTTCTCTGTGCCTTGTTCAAAGCATCAAGTTGAGAGTAAGCCTTAATACATATAATTACTAGGACAAATGTATACATGCGAGAATGTACAATAATGTGGCAGAACACTTCATAATATTACGTGATACTATATATTATTGATACATTGAGTTATCGTAGTACACGATTTACCATTGATTTGTTAGCGTTTTATGCATACCATTTTAATACTTCAATTCAAAATGAATATTGTAAATCTTTTCTGACAGTGATGATGGTTCTCATTTGGAAAAAACATACAAGGAATTCATATATACCATGATTTAGTCTGTTACCACCTGTGGTTAGTACAAATGAAGTTGGCAATAATCCAGCAGGTGGTATGGATTCTGAAAAATATGTTCCAAATGAAAATAATCATGAACTTCAAGGTAGCATCATAGTAAAGGAGAAAAGGATCAAAATAGTTGTTGATCAAATAATTAATTGATGCTGTAGCTATTCCACAGTATCCTTGTTGACTTGTACTGTCTAACAACACTTGATGCCTCAATTGCACAGGCTGGGGAGCTTATGAAACTTGAATATCAAAGGAAGGTTGCTTTGTTAAATAGACAAAAGAAACACAATGCTGCCACTGAGGTTCTGGAGAAGACTAAAGCTGCTGTAACCCATTTACACACAAGATACATAGTTGATATGCAATCAATGGATTCAACTGTGTCAGAAATTCAACATCTCCGTGATAATCAACTTTATCCAAGACTTTTGGATCTTGCTGACAGGTAATTTAGACGCATGATGCAGCTTTACCATGAATGATATTTCTAGTATTGTGACCATTGGTTTTTTTTATTGTGCTTTAAAAACATTTAGTTCTCTTATGAATAGATCTGGCAAGTCACGACCCTTTACATTCTTCATTTGGTGCTATGCTTTCAGGATGGCAAAAATGTGGGAGGACATGCACCTGCACCATGAAAACCAGCTGAAAACTGTGTTAAATCTGAAGTCAGTTGACATTTCTGATTCCCATATTGAAACAAGTGATCATCACCACAGCCACACACGCCAGCTGCGTGATATTGTTGAAAAGTGGACCACAAATTTTAGCGATCTCATGAGTTATCAAAAGGAGTACATAAATGCTCTATATAGCTGGCTGAAACTGAACCTTATACCCATAGAGAGCAGCTTAAAGGAGAAAGTAGCATCTCCACCCAGGGTGCAGCAACCTCCTGTTAAAGCCCTCCTCCAAGCGTGGAATGAACATCTAACCAAGCTGCCTGATGATCTTGCCAAGACTGCCATTGTCAGTTTTAGGGCAGTCCTGGACACCATATTAAGTGTTCAAGATGAAGAGTTGAAACAAAAGGAGACTTGTGAACACACTCGCAAGGAATACATGCGGAAGGCTCGGGCTTTTGAGGATTGGTATCACAAGCACGCACAGCGCAGGGCGTTCGACGTTGATCCAGAGAGTGGCGAGGGGACAAGCCAAAAGGACACAGTTGCGGAGAAGAGATTTGCCGTGGAGAGCTTGAAGAACAAGCTGGACGACGAGGTCGAAGCCCACAACAAGCTGTCGAAGCAAGTCAGGGAGAAGTCCCTTTCGATCCTGAAAGCGCACCTGCCTGAGTTGTTCCGTGCCCTCACCGACTTCTCTCTTGCTTCTTTCGAGATGTACTCGAAGATGAGGTTGATGTCACTCATGCAGGATCAGGGTAACAACTAGCTGAAGAGCATGTACAGGAGTTAGGATGCTAGCGAAAATTCTATCAACTGTTGTAACGGTTATGTTGTTTCCCTCCCCTTTTTTTGCGGTATGTGTAGCTCTTCAGACGAGAACTGGGTGAGTGAGGTGGTCTGTCTATTGAAATTTGTTGAGGTAGTTTGGCATGGGTTCCTGGAATCTGCAGCCTTTGTCTCTGGCAAATGGCAATTCTTTTTGCTGTGATGCTCTCCAGTTTTATTAGGTCTACAAGTGGGCGTTTGGCTGTGCTGCAATTTTGCTTTCAGATATGAACTGACGCTTGGCTGAACGTTGATGTGGATGGGCCGTGGGCCCACGGTGCCAGGAGGCGAGCGAAAGGGAAGCCCAGGGCCTGGGCAACTGGACCAACAAGACGGTATTTGGGCCATGCAGATGGACAGATGGAGCCGACACATCAGATTGAGGACTTGCCCGTTATTTACGTGCGGAAAAAGGGCACTTCAGGTCGCTCAGCCTCAAGTATAGTCCCAGTTTTATTCATGTCACTCAACCGCAAAAAGACCGGGTATCGAGTCTCCCTTGACATCTAAAATCAGTATAAATTGAATCGTCTAAAATCAGTATAAATGTTAACTGTATAAAGTCATCATGACGTGTTAAATGTGATTTTGAAACCTTCGATTGTTTCAAAAGTGATTTTGACTGACATGACGTGTTAACTGTATAAAGTCATCATGTGACTGGTCCTACACTTAATGAAGGGCCACTGGTCAACCTCGTCCCTCTCCTCTCTCATATTCTCTCCCCCATTCCTCATCCCCGGCGCTATTCCGCGAAACGACGTATTTGTAAACGAAAAGTAATTTATGAATAAAACTTTTATATACATGTTCTTAGCGATCTAAAAGTAAATGCTGAAAAATAAACTTCAAAAAAAAAAACCTCGAAATCAGCTCTAAGTTTAAAGTTGAAAATTTAAATTTCGACAGATAACGGTAAGTATAAACGAAAAGATGAGACCCGGATTTCTCTCTCCCGGACTCCGCCGCCCTGTTGTCGTGTTGCTGGTGTTCTTGCGGTGCCATCATCGTTACTGCCGCATCCCCGCCAGAGCCCCACCAGGAGAGATGATGGAGAACAGAGCGGCGATGACAGATGTTCGCTGCCACTATTCTCCTCGCACGCCGCTGCCGGTCTCGATCCGTCTCCTGCTGCCTTGAGTGGAACAGGCGGCTGCTCCTCGTTGGCCTCGCATGCAGCCAACCGATGGCCAGTGGCCAGCACCTCGGTTGCGCTGCATGTTGAAAAACCAGTGGCCATCACCTGGATTGCTGGTAAAGAAAAATCGATCGAAATTTCTCTACTTTCCCTGAAAGAAAATTTGTAGAGAAAAGATTCGATCTTGGTGAGCTAACTACTAAGGTTTGATTAGGGGGGTTTTATCTTCACATCCGAAAAGAATGCAACTTTTGTTCACATATTGTTTTGGTTGGTGCCATGTGATTGGTGGACTTAACCAGCATGGGCATGAGAGATTCATGTCTGTAGTTGATGGTGGCGTCGAAGGCTATCACCAACACGTCGAGAACAATCTAGCCTGCAGTTAGTAGCGGCTCCACTGTTTCACCGACGAGAAACGGGCCGGAGGACCATCATCATCAAGCTCCTAAGCATGCCATCTAACCGGCAGCCTAAGGATGAGGATCAGAAAGAGGGATAAGGAAAGAATAAGATAGCTGTTCCAGTTACATGCATGCGGGTTCTATATGTTATTTTATATTCTATTTTTGCTCCCAGTGTTACGTTAGCCGAAACCATCTTCAATTCTATCTTGGAACTATATTTGTACTAATTTTAAAAGATGAGGGATGTGTTTTACCCAATTTTACGCTGAGAGATACGATTTAAACTCAACCATTAAATGTGTTCCACTCAACCATTAAACTTGTGTAGAATGGTTATCCCAACCTAGCCTATAAGGATAAATATTTGCTCTTTATCTGAAGAAAAAAATTAAAAAGGTGTCTACCTAAGTAATTATAAATAAATCATGACTACAAATTAACTAGAAATATTATATTTAATGTATGTTCACATTTGCACATAGAAGGGAGGTTGATGTATGAAAGTGATCGAGTGAGCCTAGAGTGCACAAGTGGTGTTGTGGATTTCTTAAATGCTGCGAAGCAAGAGAAGAACAAGAGGAACAATGAATATATGGCTTGTCCATGTTGATTGCAATAATGAGAAGATGTTTGCCGATAGAGCACGAATACACACTCATTTGATATGTCGAGAATTCACGATGGGTTACACATGTTGGACCATGCATAGAAAGCAAGAGCTGTTGAATATTGGAGATGAAGTGAACGGTGGACAAAATGAAGAACAATATGAAGATGATATGTTCATCCCTTCTCCGTTGGGTGGTGACCTTGTGTATATATATCAACAATGATACTCTTAACTAGTTATGCTAGGAATGTATATCTCTGTTTCTGTCATTTGCAGCAGGTATAGCTAGCAATTGCTTGAGGCTAGCTGATAAAATGTTTTTTTTTTTTGAAAAAGCTCATCGGTGTCAGGTTCAGAACATACCCCATCACGATTTAGCAATATTGTTCTCGGTTTGAAACTGGAAGCCATCACGAATGAGTCCTCCATGATGAGCTCTTAAGTACTCCATCAAAGGTGACCGAGTCACCTTTGACGTGTTAGAGTTGGAGCCCATCACAGATGAGTCATCCATGATGGGCTATAGAAACAGAAGTGTTTTTGGAGCTGGGTATAGATATTGCGGAAGTAGAAAGAATAAAATGGAGGAATGTTGTGATTGGTTGAGAAAAAAAATTAAATGTTGATGTTTGTGATTGAGATTGAGATGAGGGGTTACTTATTGAAGAAATAGCTATATATTGGGATAATTTTGAACGATGGAATTTTAGATGGAGGGAATATATCTCATATCTTAAGTCGATAAATAACCAAAAGAAATTATTTTAAATATATTTATGTAGAGTATATAATAGAATGAGCACGATACTATAAACAATTACACTATATATCATCGTTGGACCAATTATCCTATGTTGGGCTTTATCGTTTATTAGTTGGTGGTGAGGTTGTGTTGTATGTTGTGTGCTGTACGGTTGTTTAGTCGATCGGCTACATATGGTCGTTTTTTTTGGACGCCACTACAGAGAGATGCTCTCTTAATAGACTAAACACGCAACTAAATTATTTCCATCATTAGGGCATGTACAACGGTCTATTAGTGGTCTCTCTATTGTCATGCAAGTAAATTTGATGGCATGAAAGAAAGAGAAAAGGAGTATGGTTGTTATGCATATCAACGGCTCAGAGTTGACTCTTAGCATTTATTAGAGCAAATTTTGTTGCATGGTGGTGAAAGATAGGAAAGAAGAGTAAGAAAAAGTATTTTGATACATTAATGATTAGAGACCATATTATCTCTTAACTGTTGTAGGATGCTAGTCTCTAGATATCTGACTCTATCTTTGTACATGCCCTTAGTAACCTGCCAATCAAGCGTGCTTTCCAAAAGTATGCAACCATGCAACTTCAAGGAAAATATATTCCTAATAGCTAAGTTTCAAATAAATTTTTCTTTCAAATTACGTATCCAATTTATAATCCGATAATAACATTATATTCGTTGTAATTAAATCTTTTTAAAAAGATCTTACACGATTATATTCTAATGAAAAAAAATAATGTTGTGAATTACTTTTATTATATCTGAGAGTTACTTTTATCATATATATATATATATATATATATATATATATATATATATATATATAATTGAGTAAAGTCCATCACCGGTCCCTAAACTTGTACCGCTGTGTCATCCCGGTCCGTAAACTCGCAAATCGACCGTTCAGATCCTCAAACTTGTTTGACTGTGTCATCCCGGTCCCTAAACTTGCATATCACTCGTTTAGGTCCTCCAACTTGTTCAGTTGTGTCACCCCGGTCCCTAAACAGGACGGTCTAAAAATTTTATATCAAAAAATAACTCATAACTTTTTCATGTGAACTCTAATGAAGACAAACTTTATATCAAAATTGTAGCCTTCAACGCGACTTGCATCTTTGTAGTTGAAAAGTTTTTGAATTATAACTGTTTAGGTCCCAAAATATTGTTGCATGTTTATATATTTTGAAATTTTAATTTTAAAATTACATTTTGGGACAAAAAATGACTTAAAATAAAAAAAAACTCAACTACAAAGTTGTAGATCGTGTCGAGGGCTACAAGTTTGATATAAAGTTTGTCTTCATTACAGTTCACATGAAAACGTTATGAATTATTTTTAAATATAAAGTCTTTAGATTGTCTTATTTGACACATATGATATTCAAATCCAAGTTTAGGGACCGGGGTGATACAACTGAACAAGTTGAAGGACCTAAACGAGTGATCTGCAAGTTTAGGGACCGGGATGACACAGTCGAACAAGTTTGAGGACCTGAACGGTCGATTTGCGAGTTTAGGGACCGGGATGACACAACGGTACAAGTTTAGGGATCGGTAATGGACTTTACTCTATAAAATTTAATTAATTTACTTCTTAGACATTTACGTAGGTCAACTCAATAATATCTAGAAGTAACTTACACAAATTATAATTACCTCTAAATTTTATTCCTATTTTTAAATCATCTAGCAGTATATATTAAGAAACTACTGCAGGGTGATCTCATCCATATAAAAGGATGGAATCTAGCAGTATATATTAAGAAACTACTCGGTGCTCCTTGGCAACGGCCAACCATAGTGTCTACGGTTGCCACCCCTTCTGCATCTATATATTGTGCCGTATTGATCAATAAGTAACTCTCGATTCATTCGCTCAATTCTCTCTCCCCCAATCTCCCTCGCACTTTCTACTCGCAACAGTATAGATATTTCTAGATGGTTAATTTTATTTTTTTTCAAGAGTTACTTTTAATACCATGACAATTTACTTCTATTTCTCTTGAGAGTCGCATCCTCTACCAATATACTACTTCTGACACCGTGAAGAGTTACTTCTATTACTTCAGAGTTACTTTTAATACCGTGAAAAGTTACTTCTATTTTTCTAGAGTTAGAGTTACTTCTCTCTAGTAGTGTACTTCTGTAATTATTTTATTAGATTTATTGTTCCCTTATTATATAGGTACTTCTAATATCATCAAGGGTTACATGTATCCTCTTAGAGTTACTCCC